GATTTTTGTTGCAATTTTCACCAAGATGTAACTACTGTAAACAAAATTCACTAAGTAACGGTTCAGCCCCTTTACTGTAGTGTGCCTCTGTAGGCAGGCTTTGCTCTCCAGTTCATAAACCATCTTTTTTTCTATTAAACTGTTTTAATTTTTAAATCAAAACAAATGCCTTCATTAAATGAAATTTTCTTTCTAGATTGCAAATAATTTCCACAAAGCATTTCAGTACACTTTTGGAACTGTTTTATTTCACACTTATAAAAGTGAATTTTTAATCTTTTGGATGTATTGCATTTTATTTACATAAAGAGCCACTGATAAGAAGATTAAGATGAGCATAGAATTCCGAAATCCTTGGAAACAATTGTCAGTTTTCTTGTTCCTTAGGGAAGCACTAAAAACTTTACACTTAAACAGAAATTGAGTTTGCTGCTCATATGCATAAAAGATTTAATGGCATATAAATTAAGAATAATTGTTCTGTTTAAAAGGATTAAATTAAACCTAAATCAGTAATAACATGTGCAGTTTCAATCTAACTGCCTACTTAAAATAAAGTGGCAAATAAATAACAGCTAAATGATTAATAGCAATGCTTTTATTCACCTCCTCAACAGGCAAAATGGCCAGTTATTGAATATTTTATCGTGAGTGCAAAGGATGTTAATTGTACAAGAAACATGCTCTAATTTTACTAATTTTTTGATTGCATACAAAACTGAGTATGAGGCTCTTCATTAAGCGGAGATTTGATTTTATTTTGTTTGAAGTTATCACAGTGAGTACTCAACTCGGGTCCATTAAAGCCAGCAAATATCCTGGCGTGGGCTTGTGAGACTGCCCCCCTCCCCCCAGCCCACACCCTCACTCTCTACATCCATTTCTAACCCAGGCCTCTGAAGAGGATACCCGGCATCTGTTGTCTGAGCCGTAACAAAAGGGTTGTGGACTCATTGTCTGGGTAACCTTTCTATCAAATGGGGAGGAAAGAGGCGCGGGCTTTGTGTGTGGATGATTACGGATGAAAGGGCTCTTCACACTCATTGTGTCCCCAAGGGTTGACCTGGACCACACAACACAATTGAGCTGCTTAGCACACAAGCCCAGGACAATGGGGTTCTTTAGTATCATGTTCTGTTTCAACCCTTAGATTTGTTCCTATGAAGTGTTACAGTTTTCCATACTCACAGTTTTGCAAAACCTCACCTCCCATTTGCTCCAATAAGTCTTCCATCTAGACAGGATTATGGAAGGTTTTAAGACAGTCATCTTACTCAGAGTCCAGCATTATTAAAGCCTTCCTAGAAGCCATGTTTTCAAACTCTGTCCTTGTATGTACTCATTTATAGGCCTTCTCCAGTAATCCATTCAAAAACTTTTTTTTTTGGTCGTGGGGGCTGAACTCTAGGCCTGGGCACTGTCCCTCAGCTCTACCACTTGAGCCACAGCGCCACTTCCGTTGTTTGTTTGTTTATTTGTTTATTTGTTTTTCGGGTTATGTGGTGCTGAGGAATCAAACCCAGGGCCTCATGCATGCAAGGCAAGCACTCTACCACTGAGCCACCTTCCCAGCCCACAAAAACTTTTTTTTTTTGCCAGTCCTGGGGCTTGAACTCAGGGCTTAGGTGCTATCCCTGAGCTTCAAGGCTAGCAATCTACCACATGGACCACAGCACCACTTCCAGCTTTTTCTGCTTTTGTGGTACAGAGGAATCGAACCTAGGGTTTCATGCATGCTAGGCAAGCACTCTACCACTAAGCCACATTCCCAGCCCTCAAAAAACATTTTTTCTCAGCCAAAAGCAACTCATGGTGTTTGGTTTGTTTTCAAATCTTCTCTTTTATCTAGTTTCCACTCAAACTGTCATTCTATGTAATGTGTGAATGCTTCAGAAGCTACCTAAGAAAGGATATTGGTTGAGGCTAGGTAGTACAGTTTTTGGTATTTGTTTGTTTTTGAAGATCTAAAGTAATTTAATTCCCCCAATTATATCTTCTTCATCCTCTTCCAACAGTTGTTAAACTACTTGAACAGGTAGGAATGCTGACATTTCTCAGCTCCATCCCCAAAATTATGGCCCAGAGATTCCTCACACAGGCCAAGTCAAGATTCAAATTGAGGGTTCAGAAAATGGGCCTCTAGGTTACCATTCAGATCACCACAAAGCAACTCAGTGCCCTTGAAATAACTTCAGCCCTGGGGAGAGAGGAGTCTCCTGAGTTCTCTCAGCAGGAAGCATGGTCCACACATGGGAGGGCAAGCCATGACAACGGAGTAACACAGCAGGCAGAGACTGGGGACAGAGCTGGCTGACTACCTCCACCTTAGGTCCCTATTCTGAGGCATAGTATTCCATTCTAGGAGACTAACCTGGGCTTGCCTGGAACTACTGCCCTTCCTTGTAGCAGGGTCAACAGTTGTGCACTACTATACATGGCTACTAGTTGAGATGTGGGTCTCACTAACCTCTTGCCCAAGCCAGCATCAAACTACGATCCTTCTGATTTCCTTTTCCCAAGTAGCAGGAATTGTAAGCGCGAGCTTCATGAGTCACGATTTGTTTTGTGCTCTGATGGTTTGTTCTTTATCTTCAATACTAGGGGTTGATCTCGGTGCCTCACAAACACTGTACCACTTGAACAACTATCCCCCAACACCAGTCCTTAGTATTGGTTTTAATAAATACCTAATACTATGTTTGTGTTGACGGGTTGTTTTTTTTTTAGAGAGATAGTTATTTTCTAGAAGCATCTATTCATTTGTTGCTTCTTGTGCCTATGGCAGGCACATTGCAGAGTTTGGAACATGACCTGGTGCTGGGGCCCAGTCAGGAGTAAAGATCACAGTACAAAGTTAAGTAAGTGTGAAAGCAGGTCCCTAAGACATGCTGCCTTGTGTGGGTTATCGTGCAGCCTTAAGAAACAAGCAGCGCCAATCAAGATGCATTGTACTTACCAACTCCTGAGCTGAAGCTCTTGTACAGCTACTTAAAGATAACTTAAAAAAAAAAGAAAGAAAACACATTTGAGGTACTCTATGCAAATGAGACGAACTGGTTCAGAGAGAACATGATTGGCCAACTGAGGCCGCATCGGGAGTGACAGGCCCTTGGCAGGAGCCCAGGAGTGTCCATCCAGTGTAGATTGTACCCTGCCAGCCATGCCTCGTGTCCCTTGGCTCTTTTTTATAATGTTTTTATTTATTGTAAAGATGCTGTACAGAGAGGTTATAGTTACATGAGTAAGGTAATGAGTACATTTCTTGTGGAACATTGTTACCCCCCTCCCATTATCTCATTATCCCCCCCCCCCCCACACACACACACACCATGCCTTGGCTCTTAAGAGTTCATGGGGTTGGTGACATGCAGGAGAATCCTCCTGACCAAAACACTGAAGGCAAGTCACCCGGGTGCCAGGGCAGGTTATCCAGGGTGGTAGGGCAAGGTGGGGCTCAGCTTGATGTCCTATTTCCTGACCATTCTCCTCCAGACATTTTGATGTTGAAAAACAGCATCTCAAAAAGTTTTCCATTTTAATATGCAAACTAAAATAATTCACAATAGCAATTTAGCAAGGCCTGGGACTTTTGGCTTTTTCTCCAGTTTTTTCTTTCTCTCAAATCAAAGAAATCCAAGGGCCACATTAAGATGAGTAAATTAGCATTATGGGGACCATTAGTTTGTTTACCGGGCATAAAATTATGTCCTCTGCAAACAGGAATACCAAATAGCATAAAAAGCCAGGGGTGATTTACATTTTCTTTTTGATTAGAAGATTTCATCCACTGTAGTCAGGAAGGAAAATCTCTCCCATTTAGCTTTTGAAGATCAAAGAAGCTATTAAATATGCTATATTACCAGCATTTTTTTTTCTTCCTTCCTTTTTTTTTTTTTTTTTTGTAAAGACTAGGGGATACTACTTTTCAAATTGAAATTGTCATGGGGGAAAAGGAGAGATTTGATTTGGGGTCATGAGGACAGGACTATATGTTTAACCTTTTATTCAAACAGGTCTTTCCTGTAGCTCTCATGTCACAGTAGCCTGTCTAGTGAGTTTTATATGCATAGACTTGATGACCAGCAAACTAGGAATCATTCAGTGAACCACGGTCTGATTCTAAGCCTTGGGATCTTTCTGTAGCACATTTGATAACCTTTGATAACCTCTTCAAAGACAAAATAAAGTGAAAAAAAATTACTGGAAAGAAGGATGAGCCTATGTAGGCATTCAGTTGGGCTAGAGCCTGGCTTTCCTCCCAAAAGGAGCAGGCTGAGGTGAACGTTGCCTAGGCAACAGACCCCACTTCCCTTCCGAGATAAATAAGCAAATGTGCATATTACTGGCTATACTTTCTTTCCTAGATAAATAAGCAAATGTGCATATTACCAGCTGGCATGGGAATTGCACTTCTATTTTCCCCAGCTGAAAGCCTGGGCCTTTGCTGATGGCAAGTACTAACACTCTTTGAACCACAGTGCTTCACTGGATTAATGTTGCAAACATCCATCCTCATCTGTTTTCTGGCATTTAGAATTCAACTGTCCTGCCGGGCACCGGTGGCTCACGCCTGTAACCCTAGCTACTCAGGAGGCTGAGATCTGAGGATTGCAGTTCAAAGCCAGCCCTGGCAGGGAAGTCCGTGAGACTCTTAATTCCAATAAACCATTCAGAAAACCAGAAGTGGCGTTGTGGCTCAAGTGGTAGAGCGCTAGCCTTGAGCTGAAGAGCTCAGGGGCAGCGCCCAGGCCCAAAGTTCAAGTCCCACGACCAACAACAACAACAACAAAAGAATTCAACTGTCCTCTGTCTTATGGCATATTTCAAATGAACTTGAGGAATTAAGACTTATACTCTGTTATCTGTAGTGCATGGGTCTCCTTTGAGTCTGAGATAGGTCCTTAGCCTGTAGATGGTAGGAAGAGTGAAGTCAGCAGCTGAATACAGTCAGTGGATTGCTTTTGATTGAGGACTTGCCATTTCTTTTCTGCTTTGAGCAGTCAACAACCGACAGATGACAAATATTCAGACTTGCGATATGATCCGAATTGGAAGAAGAGGAAAGAGGAGGTGCAGTTGTTGGCAGCGGAGGGACTGCCCCGGTCTGCAGGCAGTTCTTTGGAAAACCTGCCCTCGGCTCCCCTCTACCCTTCCAAGGAGCCGTCCGTGGGACTTTCGGGTGGAACCGACAAAGAGAAGAGAAGCTCTCAGAGCGCAGTCTCCTTACTTGGAAGTGAATTTTTAAGCCCAAACTATGAGCAGGGAGACTGTCGCAATGAGTGCTTTTTAGAGCTAAGTGACAGTGACCGGGAGGAATCCAGCAACCTCTCTCAGAACCTGAAGAGTTCAAGTTCACATAACGAGGTTTTCCTGCCAGGGACACGACATGGCCGTCGGAGAAGGAAGTCCAAACAATACTTCGTGGAAAAGAACAAGCTGACTTTGGGGATACCCATTCCTAAAACAGATTCCTACCTTCAACTTCACAATAAGAAAATGGGGGAGCTTCACCTAGAGCAGGTAAGTCATGGCTACTTACACATCTCTTCCCAAATGCTGGACCTGAATTTGCCTTTGTTTGGAATGGCTTTCTGTTGGGATGATGTCATGGCAACCGCACTTCACTGCAGTCTTTATGTTGCCCCTGCTTGTACGACAAAATAAAAACTATCAACGGCTTCAGTGCTGAAACCAGTATCCCCACTCAAAAAAAAAATCATAGAGTTTGTCAGTATTAAGATTTGAACTCAGGGCCTTGTACTTGCTTGCAGGTATTCTATAGCTTGAGCCAGGCCCCAGATCTTTTTGCTTTAGTTATATTTGAAATAAAAACATTTCTCAGGTTTATGACAGGACCAGCCTAGGTGATGACCCTGCCAGGTACACTTCTGAACAGCTGGGATAACAGGTTCAGGACACCATAGCCAGCGTTTTAAATTGGCTGATGTGGACTCTCAAGAACTTTTTACCCAGGCTGGCTTCAAATTATGATCCTCTTGCTCTCTTCCTCAAAAGTGGCTAGGATTACAGGAGTTATCAGAACACCCGCCTATTTATTTAGGCAGTACTGAGATTTGCACTCAGGGCACCTAAGTTGCATATTTTTGCTTGTATGTGTGTGGACCACAGTGGAATCATTTGGTTCTGTGTTCAATAGTTGTACAGTCTTTTTGCTGTTCTTCATAGCTCTGTTGATTATACATGAAAAAGCCCTTGGAATAAATATGATGTGTGAAGCCAGGAACTGATGTTCATGGCAAAACCACTAGAGGGCAGCTGATCATCGCGGTCGGACCCAGCCTTGCTCTTATTGTTGGTTAGGGAGCCAAAAGTATTTGTCTGGACTCATTAGCATTTGAGTCAAACTTATGATCTGCCATTAAAGGAAATTGTATTTTGAAAAATGAGCCACCCTTCTATCTTTATTGTAACATTTCTTTGAAGATGAAATTTAGTTTGGGTTCAGAAGAGCTTTAAGTGCTTTATACATGTTATTCTGCTCCTTCCTAGTAATTTCTTGGAAAGAAATTGCAGATATTTTGCAAATATAAATATAGAAAAGGTTATTCAATCATCTATAGAGACAAGAGAAGGCTCTAAATGGAGTCCACCATCTACCCAGGGGGTCCAGAGTAGGCAGCCACCATGTGGCTCTTACAGAGACAATAGACCAACCAGGGATCAAGTACGATTGGGCACTACCCTTGTGCTGGGTGCCCTGCTCTACAGCCAGGATTTAACAACATAAGACAGCCTGAGCTGCCACTAGCCATGTACCTTCCAGTCCTGGGGTGCAGACAAGAAGCAGGTAACAATTTCAGATGCTGATCAAGACTTCAAAGAAGAATGAGAAACTTGATTCACCAAATTACTATGAAATATAACTAAGTAGCTAAGTACCTGGGGAAGGTCTCTTTGGAAGTATCCTTTCAAGTTGAGATGTGAATGGCTGAGAAGAGAAACGCACTCACAATCTGGCAGAGCTTTGGCCCAGCCCACGTGGTGGCTGCACTCTACATGAAGCATCGCAGTATCGGGCGGGTGGGAAGAAAAATCCAAGCCAAGTACTGGCTGGGGAGTCAGAAGATCCGGGGTCAGCTCTGCCTCTTCCACATAGATATTTGATATTTCACTAGATATTTGAGCAAGTGGGTTCCTAACCTTATCTTCCTCGTCTATTATATGCACCAACTTCTGTCTTGGAAAGCTGCTTGAAGAATTTACACAAAGCTCCTGACAGGTATCAGACCCTAGGGAAAGGGAAGCTATGACCACAAGGATGTCTTAAGCCATGAGAAACCAGAGGAATCTACCAAATGACGAGGCCCTTCTGAGCAGCTTGTCTGTCTGTCCTCGTACAGTGGCCTGCGGTGTCACTCCCACCCCGTGGCATGGCTCCTCAGAGACTGTATGAACAGGATCCGCTTCCTCAGCTTTCATCATTGTGATCAAACACCTAGCAAAGCCCTTGAGGGAGGGGAGGAGAAGCTCGTGGTGGCTCATCCTCTCAGCCCTGCCAGCCTACCGCAGTGTGGGGAAGAACAGCAGCTCACCTCCTGGTCACCTGGGAGAAAGAGAGAGAGACAGAGAGGGACAGGGACAGGGAGAGACAGGCCTATGCTAGTTGCCTGCACTTATGGCTTCTTTTTCCTTCTTCTTCTCTCTGGGCCTACAGCCTGTGGTTCAGGCAGAGATTATCGGGGTTAATCTCTACAGATGCCCTCAAAGATATGCCTAAAGAGACACCAAATGGGCTTTACCGGTCCCAGGTGTTTCGACTCCAAGTTGGCAAGATTTCCTAAGCACACTTCCCATTGGTGCTGCTGTCCCCAGGGTTACCATATGCCAACTAGTTGACATATTTGTTTCAACGCCTGTTCAGGTGCTGTAATCAAGCCTGTAATCCTAGCTACTCAGGAGGCTGAGATCTGAGGATGGCAGTTTGAAGCCAGCCCAGGCAGAAGAGTCTATGAGACTCTCATCTGCATTTAACCACTGAAAGATAGACAGAAGTAGAACTGTGGCTAAGTTGTAGAGCGCTAGTCTTGAGCATTAAAAACTCAGGTACAGCACCTCAGCCCTGAGTTCAGGTCTCAGGACCAGCACCCCCCGCCCCCCCCCCCCAAAAAAAAACAGTTATTCAGATACAGCTTTAAACATTTGTAATTCATAATTAAGTTACTTATATGTAACTTGGATTGCACACACACAGAATTTGGTGCTTTGGTTTTGAAGTACAATTAGAGAGTCTCAGCTCAAATGTCTCTAGTTTATGAAGATGTAAAGTTCACCTCTTTCATACTTGAACATCTGCCATGGAACCTAAATACTTGATGAAGAAATGTCATTTAAAATATTTTTCTTTAGTCCAGAAATAAAAAGAAAAGATCTTGTGCTATTAATTTAAACAATGGAATTTGTAGTCAAAGACTTTGTTTTGAGCCTCATTCATTAGAACTATATATATTAGAACTCACACAATCTGCTAGACAGCGGTGGCTCACACTTATAATCCTTAGATCTCAGGAGGCTGAGATCTGAGAATTGAAGTTGAAGGACAGCCTGGGAAGACAAATCCATGAGACTTTTCTCCAAATAGCCAGCAAAAACAAAATTGGAAATGGAGATATAGCTCAACTGATGAGCAGAAAAAGGCCAGCGATAGAATGAGGACCCAAGTTCAGGCCCAGGTACTGTTACACACACACACATACACACACAGACAAGTCATATAATCCTAAGCCGTATATTTCCTTATTTAAGTAGACATTTGCTTCAGAATTATTAAGACGATCACAGGAGATGCTATATGTAGAAGCTTTTCACAATCATAAAGCTTTAAGTATGCATTACATTCATCGTTGAATGTTTGGTTTGAATTTGTAGCCTCTTACTGGATAAGATTAGTTTCTAAGTAGCTATTCTTTCTCATCATTTTGAATTTACTAGAACTTTGGATGGTCCATAAGTTAAGCTGTACCTTTATTTAAATTATCATCCTTTTGTAATTATATTTGATTAGAAACAGAGTTCCTTTTTATGTAGATCTTCCAGCTTGATGGTGCTTTTCAGTTCTACCTTTATTATACTTGTAAAAATTATTCTTCACCAGAGTGGGAACTCCGTAGATGCTCATTGATTGATAGATTTTCTTATTTTGTTCAGTGCTACCACAAGAGCACTTATGATAGTGTAATTTCAATTGAACTTTATGGTTTTTTCAATACCAGACATTTCTTAAGGCATCTTTATGAGCACTGTCTGGTACTTATTTGCTTCAACTACCCATTTGTATGACTTACAGACTTAAGAGTGACACTTCGTTAAATCCCCATTACTGAAGAGGGTTCCATGGAAAGAAAACTTCCCATGGAACTAAAGCATGCCCTTTCACGAACTGGACATTTCACATCATTAATCACTTTTCTTCTGTGCTGGTCCTGAGGCCTGAACTCAGGGCATGGTCTCTGTCCCTAAGCTTTTCTGCTCTAGGCTAGTACTCCACCCCTTGAGCCACAGCTCTACTTTTGGCTTTTGGGGGGAGTTAATTGGAGATAAGAATCTCATGGACTTTCTTATCTTCAAACCGTAGTCCTTACTCAGCCAGCTGAATAGCTAGGATTACAGGTGTGAGTCACTGGCACAGCAAAAGGAAGTATTTTTAAGAAGGTAACTGCTGTTATTATGGGAGGGAGGTTGTGAAATGCTTAGGATTCTTAGGCTGAAAACAAATTGTGTGTGTGTGTGTGTGTGTGTGTGTATACCTTGAGCCTCCAAAGGTCCCACTGTTCTCAACTTCTTACTGAGCTCACACAGGCTAATTACATTCTTAGTAGCTAGTCATAGAGTCAAATAGGTCATGTGTGTTGTCCCCAAACATCTGTGTGATAAAAGCCCATCAATAATTAGGACAGCTGAGCTCGCTGGGCACCAGTGGCTCACGCCTGTAATCCTAGCTATTCAGAAGGCTGAGGATCACAGTTCAAAGCCAGCCAGGGCAGAAAGTCCATGAGATTCTTATCTCCAATAAAGCACCAGAAGACTGGAAGTGGCACTGTGGCTCAAGTGGTAGAGTGTTAGTTAGCCTTGAGCTGAAGAGCTGAGGGACAGCGCCCAGGCCCAGAGTTCACGCCTGATGACTTAAATAAATAAATAAATACAGCTGAGCTCAATATCAGCAGTGGTAGAATAATTTTTTGAAAGGTTTAGGAATGATTTATCTTAGTCTAACAGGATTAACGTGGGGAGAATTTTCCTGTGCAGGAAAAGGGAGTTAAAGACTCAACATGGCTGCTCCTATCCGGCTTTTACACTCTCTGACTGGAGATTACTCCAGGCCGGGCCTGTCTAGTGACTGCCAGTCTGTAGGCCTCTGTTGGGGTGGCGGGGGGGGGGGGGGGGGGGGGGGGGGGGGGGGGGGGGGGCGGGAGGAGGGGGATAGGTGAGTTCCACCCAGCCCCAAGTAACCGGTAGGACTTCCTTCCCCCTGCTATGTCTTTCCTTCATTCTGCCTTTGCCCATTCAGGAAGTTCCCAGAATTTTACCATTTCAAAGGTGATGGTAAATTGAGATGACACTCATCCTTTTGTGTTGGCTCTTTTTTGCTGACCCTGTATAAATACAGCTGGTAGGTTAGCTGACGCTGAGGAGCATAAAGGTATTAGAGATGTACTAGAAAATAAAACATAGGGGCTTGGAAGGTAGCTCAGTGGCAGAGTGCTTGCCTTGCATGCCTGAGGCCCTGGTTCGATTCCTCAGCACCACATAAGCAGAAAAAACCAAAAGTGGTGCTGTGACTCACTCAAGTGGTAGAGCACTAGCCTTGAGCTGAATTGCTCAGTGACAGTGCCCAGGCCCAGGCCGACAAAAAAAAAAAAAAAATAGCAAAATGTATTAGAAATAAGTGGCTCATGCCTGTAATCCTAGCTACTCAGGAGGCTGAGATCTGAGGATCCAGGTTCAAAGCCAGCCTAGACAGGAAAGTCCCTGAAACTCTTATCTCCAATAAACCACCAGAAAACCAGAAGTGGCGCCATAGCTCAAGTGGTAGAGCGCTCGCCTTAAGCTGAAGAGCTGAGGGACAGCGCCCATGTCCAGAGTTCAGGCCCCACGACCAACAAAAAAGAAATAAGAAAAATAAATACTTTCTATCACTCATTAGCCAAGTGAATAAAGAAGCATTCATTGTATCCACTGACTGTCCCAGAGAGAGAGAGAGACTCCCTCCAGTGCGCTTATTTACCTTGGGCATGTGTAAGTGGTCAATGCATACCATCAAGGAATAACATCAAGCCTAACAAAGAACCTACATAAAGTCAGGAATAAAACCAAAATGTAGGGGAAAACGGGAGCCAGGCACACACACACACACACACACACACACACACACACACACACACACACAGAGTAAGTTTGAGTGTGTACACCTAACTCACTTGCATGACAGCTCTGGGGAAAGCATGAACTGTTTTCTGTGGCTCTGTCTGATTCTCTAAGAACCCGAGTTTCTTTGAGAGAAGTGGGAGCCCAGTCTAGCTCAGCTGTACTCAATCTGAGTTGCTTTTCCTACCTACAAACCCTCACTTCAAAGCAAGGAACATAATGTACAATTTTTTAATGGCTCTAGACCCAGGCACTCCGACTCTCTGCTCTGCGCCTTACCTCAGTGTAAACACCTAATCAAGATTGCCCGCGCTTCAACAATAGCAGCCAAATGCAATTCGAGAACCGCAAGCCTTTGAAGTCCTCCCGGCAAAGGCCGGTTTTCTAGTCTGGGATAATGGCATGCCATGATTGCTGTCTTTGTTGTATCTTTTCAGTAGAGAAGCAATTATAGGCCCCAATTTAACAGAATAGACATTACACAGCTTATGATGCTCAAAATGCAATTTCATTTGATCATTTTCTCGATTTGATTGGTATTAATAGAATGGTTCACAAAAAAAAAAAAGTATATAGCTGGCAGAGGTTGTGTCCCATTCCACTTTCAAAGAGATAATGTAGAAGTATGCTTTACCTGCCCGGCAAGTCCCCTGGGGAGACTCAGCTACAAGTTCCACCAAAACAGCCTGTGGATGGAAATATCCAACTTCCTCCGTCCCCAGCAAAGGACATGTCAGATACTCCATTTTTAATTTGTAAACTTAATGGCAAAACTATATGAGATCTCACGGTTGTGAGTGTACAAATTTACGGCACTAGTGGGAGACTGAATTAATAAACCAAACCCCCTTTATTTCTATGGCATAGAAGCAGATCTATAGAAGAGCTCAGCTTCTCCCGCCTCCCTTCCTCTCTCCCTCTTCCCCTCTCTCTTCTTTCTTTTTCATCACCTCTTTAAGGTTGGAAAGGGATTTTTCCTGGCCTGCTTAGTTAGCCTAGTTATATTTTTTCACTCTCTTGACCTTCATTTCTCCTCCAGGGCACGGCTGGTTTTTCTTTTTTTTTTTTTCAGGTAAGGGGTAGGTTTATTCATCGTTCCGGCTGGCACCAGGCCATCTTGGTCCTGATTTTCCTTTTAAGTGAATGATGTGTCTGTTTTAACATTGTGGCAGGAATTGGACCAAACCTTTGCAACTCCAGTGAAACCTAGTGTTTGGTAACGGTAGGTTTTTCTAGGACTGCTGAGAGGCAGTTCCTAGCCTGGAGCACCAGCATCCATTCTAAAATTTCTTCTCAGCACAAGTTAGACAGTTGAGTGGTGTGAGGTCTTCCATTTGCAGAGGAGGCTGTGCATTGCAAACCTAGTGATTCCCTCTGCTCAATTTCAGAATAAGTCCATGATCAAATAGTACTTTCTTGCTTCCTTCTTTTAGCAGTGAAAATTCAAGCAAAACCCCTTTCTTTTTTCCTCCCACATTCAGTCCAACTTTTAAATCTTGAAACATCTGCCAGATCTACCTATAGTACCTCTGTGTGTGCAGTAACAGTGAGTTATCTCAGCAATTGTTCACAGACAGATAAGATAGCACTTGAGATAAAGGACAGACAGCTTGTCTGTTTTGTGCCAGGGCAGCTGTGTTGAATGGTAAGTATTTACTTATCACTTCGTATTTAATGAATACTTTTTGCCCTTTCTATATTGAACACCAGGCTCCATTACTAAAAGTAAACAGTAGAGGGAAAATGTGAGCAAAAGCATAACAGAGTCCAAATTCCAGATTCTTTCCAGTTGCACATCTGGCTGCTTCTCAGCCTACCCAGAAATTTAACAAAACAAGAGCAAAGCCCTAAAGCTACACTTACAAACTAATTTCACCAGTTCAAAAAGGGAAAGACTAGACTGAGTCACACATCACTGGAAGGATGGTGGAGAAACCTTGAAACAGGCCCTCTCAGTAAGAGAAGGGCTAGAAGAGACCCCAAGTCAGAATCTGCAGGTGTTTTCTGTTTTCTGTTGTGTGGTTCTCCAGAGAGCAAAGAGACAGGGAATGTGGGGAGGAAGTTCCCACAGGAAGAACTTTCTGGCATTTAGGTTGCTCAGTGGTGGGACACTGCACATGGTGCATGAAACAGAGATCCTTTCTCTCTCTCTCTCTCTCTCTCTCTCTCTTTTTTTTTGGGGGGGGGGGGGTCCTGTTGTGGGGCCTGAACTCTGAGCCTGGGCGCTGTCCCTCAGCTCTTCAGCTCAAGGCTAGCGCTCTACCACTTGAGCCACAGAGCCACTTCCGGCTTTTTTCTTTTTGCTTATGTGGTGCTGAGGAATCGAACCCAGGGCCTCAGGCATGCAAGGCAAGCGCTCTACCACTGAGCCACCTTCCCAGCCCAGATCCTTTCTCTTACTGTGGCTTTTCTTTGTTTCTCTTTTCCTTCATTGGAGGAAGTACGCTGTACTGCACCCTCGAAGAGATCCTGATCCCAGGTCCTTCCTGTGTCTCTCTTTGCTTTTTTGTCCAATTATTATTTACTTTATTGTTACTCTAAAGGTGATGTACAGAGAGATTGTAATGACATGAATCAGGGTGTGAGTACATTTCCTTTTGTACAGTGTCTTCCCTTCCCTCATTTCCTCCCAGCTCCTCCCTCCAGTCTCTTTGCTTTCTGTCTGCCAGGAAGTGAGCATCTTGGTCCCCATGTCCCCTCCCCAACACCACACACCACACATGCAAGAGTTCCCCACCATGCTAGATTGCCTCTTCACAGGCCCAAAACAATAGGGTCAAGTGACCATGGACTGAAAGCTCAGAAGCCATGAGCCTCTTCTTATTAGTTGTTTATTTAAAGTATGTTCCTACCGCACTGGGAAGCTGAGGACTGAAGAGATCAAATAAACTATCCGTAGAGCCTTCCCTGACAGGACTTCTTCCTAGAGGACAGAGCCCTGTGCCCGTGACTCTTATGCTGTATATGTTTTACCCTCTCAGGTCTCCTACCCCATCAGAGTCGCTGGCAAGATGACTATTGAGCACACCAAAGAGATTGAAAACACTGCCATCGATGCAGAGGACAAATGGCATCAAAGAGCCAGGCAGCTAAAGGTTACTTGCTAGATTGCATGCTAAGTGTGTTTCAAGTGATTCTGCTTGAATATAAGTAATGTCAGTGAGTTCTTGTCACTTATGGGTTTATTTTTATGTCTGAGAACAGCTACCCACCATTGTGTGAAAGAGACTGACTTCTGCCAGAGAAACCCTGGCTTTCTCAGCCGGCCACCCTTCCTCTGTTCCCAGAGGTTCTGCTTTCTTGAAGAACATCATCCTAGCACACTTGCCACACCGACTGCAAACCTCTCCCAGAAGGAAGGCCTGGGGACACACAGGGAAAGGCGAACCTCAGCTCCAGGGTGCCCACAGGGCTGTCCTTGTCAGAGCTGTCAGCCACTCTCCATGATGGGGCCCACCTTCCCCAGCAGGGGGTCCCCAGAGCCCGGCTGAACCCTCACTGGCAGAACACAAAAGCTGCTCAGCTGGCAGCACCCTTTCCCTCTATGGTTTACTGCTCTGAAATCATCATCGTAATATTGAGGGGAACATTTCTGAAATCGTTTCTCTAGGAAAACTAACCAACAGTAAAAGCCTGTAGCAGCTGACGTAGTTCCTGAGCCGGGGTGTGGGGGTTTTGTGGAGTCAGTCCTGCTTCAGATTTCTTCCTTATTTAGAAAGGATAAGATCATGAAAGCCACCAAGCCTGTAGAGCTGTTGGCGTCATCTGCTCAAATCATATACACGGCAACAAGAAACTGGAAAAATCTGGAAATACCCTAAATCATTTCCTTTGTCCCCAGAGGCCACCAGGCTGCCCTCACACTTGAACATTTAATTAATTAAATTATTAAATTAATTAATAGCGTTCTTTAGAGCTTCCTAAATGCTGAGGCCAGGGATACCTGGAGCCGACAAGGTAGAGTGAACTCTCCTGGCACAGGGCTGTGGAGGGCAGGATCTGATAGCACATGGGATACAGAGCTGGGGCATGGCAGAGAGCACTTTAAGGCATGTCTCGCATTCTGGGCACTGGACCAGGTCATAAGGAGAATGCTGGGGCTCCACCTGCCATGCACTTGGTGCATAACCTTGGCAAATGGCAACTTCACCTATAAGCCTTAAGTTTCCTTGTTATGAAAAAAAGAGTTGGTCTAAATGACCTTCAAGGTCAATTACAGTTGCTAAATCTTATGATTCTATGGCCCTGTATTCCTAAACCATTTAAATGATCATAGAATGCCCGTTTGAAACATGTTGTGACCCAGAGCTCTCTTAAATGTCACTAAAATGGAACAAAATAAGAAGAAAGGTAAGAGAATGCTTTCTGTTGTCCAGGCATACTGAGTATCATGGCTGTAACTCTCCTGAATGAAGACAAAACAGCACAGGACATTTAAAGTCATTTTACATAAAACACAGCAACACAGAGGCCCCAGGAATGGTTCCCTTTCCTGATTCCGTTTTTACCTGGTGCCCTGGAAGAAGCCATTAGCAAAGTGTGCACTGGTGGATGGCATAATCCACCTTGCCTACCTGTGAGAAAAACAGCTCTGTGAATGGGACTAAGGGAGAGTCCCATTCTCCTTTTTCAGAGGAGAGATTAGCACATTTACATGCTAGACAGAATACAGGTGGACCCATTGTAACAATGAGATGTACAAGACACTATGTTGAAAACGAACTTTATAGCTTGCAGGGGGGGGAGGGGGAAGGGCGGAGAGTTGGGGAGAGGTGGGGAGGGAAGGGATAGTAGGGGAAAAACAAAGGAGGGGGTAATAGTGCTTGATAGGAAATGTACTCATTACCTTACTCACGTAACTGTAACCCCTCTCTCTACAGTATCTTTACGATAAAAATATATATTTAACAAAAGAAAGAGAAACTATAACTAGAGGAGGGAAGAGAGAAAATAGGCCAGGTGCAATTAAAAAACCTACACATCTTCTCTCTTAAAATATTGGGAATGGTAATGAGCGTGTAACTGAGTGGTACGAACCAGCAGGGAAAAGGCACTGGGTTCCAGCCTAGCAACATTGGGAAGACAAAACCTTAAACAGATGATCATTTGTGATGTGAGTCTCCCAGTGCCCATGCTGCTCCAATTCATCATACCAACAGCAGAAAATAGAGCCGTACTCCACATTTTCCTAATATCATAGGATGCAGTTTACAACCCAAGTTCAACAGACTCGTTTTTAATTGTCAGTGAGCTGTTTAGCGGGGGGGGGGGGGGGGGGAAGGAAAGAAAGAAAGAGGGAGAGAGAGAGAAAGAGAGGAAGGAAGGAAGGGAGGAGGGAGAGAGGGAGGGAAGGAAGGAAGGAAGGAAGGAAGGAAGGAAGGAAGGAAGGAAGGAAGGAAGGAAGGAAGGAAGGAAGGAAGGAAGGAAGGAAGGGAAAGGAAGGAAGGAAGGAAGGAAGGAAAGAAAGAAAGCAAAGAAAGTGCAACAGAAACGTCTTCCTATCGGAGCTGACCCTGGAGCTCAGGGCCAAGTCTGGGTAGCTGAAAGCAAGGTGGCTTTTGTGTTGAAGCCAGGGAGCGCCTGCTTGGGATCAGAGCGTGAAGTCTGCCTTGGGCTTGTGATTTGTAAGCAGGAGAGCTGCAAGAGAGAAGCAGCCAGCCCCTACCTTTCACAGGGATGGCGCAGACATCCTTGGATGGCGCAGTATGAATGAACATTAATGACTAAGGACGGGCCTTGCTGAGAAATTGTCATCCCAGCATTAGGCACGAAGACTCCCCAGGGCTAACACACCGCATGTGACGTGAAAACCTATTGCCATTAAGCAGTGTGGGTAACAAAAGAACCCCAGCGAGAGCAGGATGAAATAGCGGATTTCAGTGCTGATGCAGGAGATTAAACAGCCTGAGAATGGCTTTGTATATTAACTTCTGGGAACTCAGATCTTGCCACCTAAAGCGTGACACCTGAGGCCTCAATTGTAGGGTAATAAATCTTCCATAAACCACAGATCTCAAGTAGGCTGCCTGCAAGGTGAGAGAAATCACATCAAGCCCCATAAATGTCCTTTCTGGGGACTGAAATGCCATCTCCAGGCACTCGGGTTTGGGTGAATGGCGGATTTAACACTTGAGACAATTGAAGTTTCATCAAATGATGAGTCCTTGCCCTGTTGACAAAGCCCCCTGTGAGGGCCATTGTGAACACAATTGTTGGGAAGCAGAGGTAAGGACACAGCGGAAATCAAGTGCTAACCCAGGACTTCGGATTTGTTTCTTCTTTCTTTGGTGAGGAAGAGGAGAGTAAACGAGGAAGATCAGTCAGCAGAAAATGTGCCGTGTCACTTTTTTTCTGCCAAGAGTTAATGGTGGGACTGAGGGGGATGACCTTGTCAGCACTGATCGCGGTCGCAGGTTATAGCAAAGGGCACACTCGCTTGACCTTCCTGCTCAGTAACAGCAGCCAGGCAGAGAGCAATTTCTTCCCCCTTTCCTCCAAAGGGGGAGGCTTCAGGCCCAACTCAATATACTGCATGGAACAAAGAACCTTTTCTTACCTCAGGATAGACAAGTTTTGTTGTTGTTGCTTTGCTTTGTTGGCTTGTTTTTGTTTTTGAGGGGGACTATTTTGGCAGGAGTGGAGTGTGAACTCAGATAGCGTCTCAGCTTTTTGCCTGGCCCAGCCCTGACCGTGATCCTCTTGTCTAACCCTGTGGCTGTGCTGGCAGGCTGGCCCATCATGCCCACTTGTTGATCAGGATAGGCTCTCATTAACCTTTCCCAGGCTGGCCTCAAACCCTGATCCTCTCTATATCTACTCTCTAAATAGCTGAGATTACCTACCGATGGGCACCACGGTACCCAGACAAGAAAGATTATTTTTTTCAGAGCAAAGTAAAAAAAATAAAAGTTGAGCAAAACTAATCTTGGCATGGCCTCCGTAGCCCCAGAAAATCCAAATTCCAGAGAGAACATAGTCTACCTTTCAAATTAGAAGTGATGCTTTACTTAAAAGTCTGAAACAAGGAATACTAAACCATTTCTGTTTTAATTTCAACACCCTCAACCTTATTATAATGCGGTTTCATTAGAAATAGAATAGCACTTCCCATTATGTAGGAATACAATGCAGCTTGGGGATCACATCAGAAAAAAAGCAAAATAAAAGCTGATACTTTTTCCTAAGGTCCTTCATAACAGGGTGAAACAAACATACCTCATTCACTTCCAGGTATTTTTCTCTCCAGTGATCTAGCTAATTGTTGCATTTTTCAATTAATGTTGCATAGATACTGGATGTAGGAAGGTTTTATCTTTATTTATTTTTTTGTAATCTGTGAGCTTAGAAAAGGAGAAATACTTTGCCATTATTGATGCATATGTCACTGTTTTCAGTAAGCACTTAATCATTCTTTCCAAAAGCCTCTTAACTCAGCCAGGTTTTCACAAAGTAATGAGTGTGCTTTTTCCTTGGAAAATATTCCTAAATGGCTCTAGCACAAGATAGTTACATCGTGTATCTATTATACAGGGAGTACATCTTGTTGTTACTAGACTCTGAAAAGCATAAAGACTGCTCTGAAATTGAAATCTTCCCCCTCGCCCCCCCCCCCCCCACCTTTTGATTGCCTTCAGTCCAGGCTGTATTAAGGAGCAGAAGGAAAACAGCCCTTTGGTTTTGTGATGTCTATCACAGCTCTGGCTCTCTCAGGATCTGCTGAATAAAATCTAATTTGTTTCCTCTGGTGAAGAGGTCATCCCTAGCTTCTAACCTGTATGAGCAGGAAGAGCTGGTGCTCTGAACTGTATTTCATATTAAACTTGTACTTGGTTGGGAAAGCAATTCATCAATGTTTTCTGGTTAGGGTTTTTTTTTTTTAATAGCAATTTAGTTAAAGTAAGATTGTGTGCTCTGAGGTGGATCTTTGGTCCCTTTTCCTGTGTACCACCTTGGAGGTGAAGCTGGCCTCTGCCCCACCTGCCATGTGGTGCCGCTTCCCCTTCCAGATGGTAAAAAGGTTTGTCTTTAACACAAAGCAAGTTGGAGCTCGCCACCTCTTTCTAAGCTCACAATCTAAAGCCTTTCACCGAGACTTCCCCCACGTGTCTGGAGTGAGGAAAGGGCTTCCGTAGCATTCAAGTCCTTGATCACCTTTCTAGCTTCAACTCACAATTGAAAATAAAGAAAACACTAATGTATAACCATCATATCTTTGCAGGATTACCAGGAACGCTGGTCTCAACAGTCCAGCAGCGTCCCAAGAGGTCAGTCCTCTGAAACAACCGAGGGACAACAGCCCTGGGGAAGGCCAGCCAGACCCAAGCTTCGCAAGGAGCGCAAACGCCAGGGCCTCCTGCCTCCTTTCAGGGAAGAGGAGCTCAGGGTCAGTCACGGAAACCAGAGCGCCCCCTGGCAGCAGCAACACCCAGACAGCGACCTACCAGACAGGAGGGCACTTAGGGGCCAGAACCCCAGAGTCACTTCCAACATCTTTGTTCCACCAAGTCAGGCTTTTGACAAGGTGTTACATAAAAACTCTACTGGCTATCACTCCATGCTGAACCTTGATAGAGAAAGAGGACTCAGACATGAGGAAAAGAAAAGATTTTCCTACCAACAGCTACCCAGCTACACTCTTGCTGCTATGGATCTGAACAACCTTAGTGAACTGTCTAAGAGACACGGGCCCCTAAGCCAGAAAGGGCCTTCAGCTGTTCATGACACGAACGTCCACAGGCCGACAAAGCATAAGAAAGCACCCAAACAGCCTTCCCCAGAGATGAAATATAAGAACTTAGAAATGTTATGGTAAGAATTCCTTTTGCTCAGCTGGTTTCCCCGAGGAGAAAGACAGGAGAGGGAGAAGGAAATGGAGGAGACACTGGGTATGGTCAGCTGCAAGGGAAAATCCAATGTAAGGCTCTCATCTGACTAATGGAGACCACTCTTAATGTGTTTCTTTTCTTCTTCCCTGTCCTCTCTCCTTTTCCTGCTGTAGTTAAACTAGCAACCAGAGGGAGAGAAGGACATGGAATCCAATGTGCTGCAAGGATGTAATGAATGGAGAGAACCAATTATCTCCAACACTGTCACGGCCTAGCCTAAGAAAATAACCCAAAGTATAGAAGAAATGCATTCATAAAAAAAGTCATTTCCAGACAGGACCTAGAAATCTAACAGTGGGGAAAGGTCTGGGTAAATTACGATATTTAATGTCATATAACCACTACAAATTATGATAACAAGAAAGAGTGTCTATAAAAAGAAACCAGTAAGGTGCAAGATTCTGTTCAACAATTATGAGCTCTGCTAAGATACCAATCATGTCATCTGGCCAGGGAGAGTAAGGTGATTGTAATTCCTCCTCTCTAGTTTCTAAATTATCCAGGAGACCTGCATTGTAGACATATTGCCTCTACCTCTATAGACAGGGAAAAGGAAGTTATTTTTAAAACCACTTCCGGGGACTGGGAAGGTGGCTCAGTGGTAGAGTGCTTGCCTTGCATGCATGAGGCCCTGGGTTCGATTACTCAGCACCACATAAGCAAAAAGAAAAAAGCTGGAAGTGGCGCTGCAGCTCAAGTGGTAGAGCGCTAGCCTTGAGCTGAAGAGCTGAGGGACAGTGCCCAGGCCCAGAGTTCAGGCCCCACGACCGGACCCAAAAAATAATAATTAAAAAAAAAATAAAACCACTTCTGGGGACCTTTGCGAAAGGCTTGTGTTTTCCTGGCTGTCACCAGCTTTGTCTGGATGTTATTCAGGCCTACATCCACCCTGGGAAGTGAATTGAGGACTGCCCTCTTTTTACATCCTCTGGGGCACTTCATAGACAGCTGCAGTTAGATCTTACTTAAAGTTCAGTAGAAAACCAGGCGCTGGTGGCTCACACCTGTGGTCCTAGTTTCTGGGGAGGTTGAGATATGGAGGATCTCAATTTGAGGCCAGTGCAGGCAGCAAAAATTGACTCAATTCCATCTCCAAAATAACCAGGGAATCACTAGGATTCTAAGTCTTCCCAGTCTGTTTTTTCGTCAGTCTGATAAATTATACTTATTAGGAAAGAAATTAACATTTTGCTGTTTTAAAATGTACTGTCATAAAACTTTTCACAGTATCTACATATACTTTTGTATTATTCAAGCTCTGTAATCATGCTTTCATTTTTAATATTGTATATGCTATCTTTCTTGTTTTTAATTTATTTTTTCAATTAAGGTGTTGGTATATATATATATATATATATATATATATGTATATGTATGTATGTATATATATATATATCCCACAAGCCTTGATTATGAATAATAATCTGTTGGCATAAGGATTCTGAGTAGGGGGTTGGAGGCATGGCTCAGTTGGTAGAGCACCATCCAGTGAGCCAAAGGGCCAGGTACTGAATTCAAATTCCAGTTTCCAACCTAAAAATAAAAGGAATTCTGGGTTGCAACAACCTCTTTTTTGGCATTTTTACATTTTTCTGTATTTGTTATGATTCTTGGTTATATTGGTCTGCTGCAGTATTTTGCTGCATCAGTGTTAGCTATTTTATTGACTTCCTAGTCTAGGAAGATGAAAATTTACCTCCTCTCCCTCACCGTCACCGCAGCCATTAATCCTCCAAAAGTCATAGGTAGGTTTCCATTGAAAAAAAGAACACTACTCAGTTACTTTTATGATCATGTCAATGCAACCATAATTCATACTCTAGCATTGAAGACTATAGCTGTGCTTTATTATTATTTCCCAAAAGTTTAGATTGCCTTGCTATTTTTTTTCTTTTTGTACTTGTGGCTATTTTTACCCCATATTTCCCAGTGGCCTCTGAGTACAGCATTTCACCAGGACAAAAACCCCAGGCTCTTCTTTCTTACGAAGACCTTTCGTGTCTTCCTCTTGCTAGACCCACTCCGCAGCCGGTCTGAGGACTCCCTTTTCCAGACACTCACACTTCCTCAGACTGGAAGCAAGGCATAATGGCAGAGGTGGGGCAGCAGGCGGTCCTCGACCTGCTGTGTTCCTGCTCATGGTTGCCCGGGGTTGACCTTCATTCCACCATGCAAGTTCCCTTCTCCGCCCCACCTCCCCTCCACCCCTTCATCCCCTCTCTCATCTTGGTAGAGAACATCCCACCAACGGGAGGAAGACTGTTTTGAGACACTGCATGACTGGACGTGGCCCCTGACCGACAGCTGACCAACTATTGCCGAATTCTAGCCTGGAAATCTTTTCCCTCCGACTTCCGTCCTTGCTACCCTTCTATCCTTGTTAAGTCAGAGGCTTCCTCTTTCTGCATCCTTTGTACAAGGCCCTTTTTTGTTTCTGAAGCTGTAGGGTCTTTTCTTTTTCTCCAACAAAATGAGGAGATACCACAGTGTGCCTTCGTGTGGGTCTGTTTTCGTAGGTTGTGCTGAGCCTTTTAACCTGGGAATATGCATCCTTCATTTCTGGGAAACTGTCTTGAATCGTCTCCTGGCTTCTGGCTTCCAGCCATCTTGTCTGTCTGCCTTTTCTCAAACCTCCTGTTATTCACATGTGTTCTTTCTTCTAGGACTGTTCTTATGATTTTTTTTCTCTCTTGTTCTTTATTCCTTTGTGATTTTGTCCTACTTTCTGTGAGATTTTGTATCCAACCTTTCTACTGCTCTTTGTTTAAATTTATTTCCAAGAGCATTTTTTTTTTGCTTCTGTGATTTTTCTGAATATTCCTTTTGCCATGGATGTGACATCATTTCTTCTCAGCATCTTACATCTCAGTAAGTGAGAATGGAGAGTGAGGGCCATGGTGATCATGGTTAAGTATCTTTGATTTCCTATTTAGGTTCTCTTTCCTCAAGTTATTGTTGGTGGTGGTGTGTTCAGTTTCCCTTCACTTGCTTTCCTATTTCCTCTGTGAGGCTGGTCTCACTCATCTGGCACTTGAGTTCCTGTTCGTAATTACGTGGGAGGGACTGGCCATCTCACTGGGTGCTGAGAGTCAAGCTTTGTTGAAGTTCAGTTTGTGTAGGAAGCGCCTCTTGTCTGTTCGGGATCATCATCTTCATGTGGTCCGATGATTTCTATACCTTCCCTAGGATACAAGTCCCCAGGGTACTGTGGAGGTGGAGAAGAGACACGTACCTCATTGTACAAAATGGGGAAGAAAATAGGTAGATTTCCCCACTTCCTAAACAGACTTTCAACTGCTTTTCGACTGACATAGATGTCCCCTTTCAGACAGGAATCCATTCTGCCTGCTCACCCCACAAGTACCCATTAGAGTTCACTGGCATTTTCTCGTGTTTGTTTTGTTAAGCAGTGTTTCACTTGTCATCTTGAAAACAATTTGGGGCACATTATTCCTCTCTGTTTTTCTCTTCTATTTCATCCATCTGTGTATTTTTGTTGTTGTCTGGAAGCTTCACTATACGATATGCAGGCATGATATTTTCAGTTCTACTTGACACTCCTCTGTGATTCCTAGATCCTGACTGTTATAAGTTCAGAAAAATTGGCATTTGCTTTTCCCATTGGATAGTATGCTTGCTTCTTTCTCATGGCTACAGATCCTCATCCAGGTCATTTTAACCTTAATTTCTTGGTTGGACTTCCATAATTGTATGGAAATTCAAAGCAAAGACCAAGTTAGACTTGCTCTGCTGTTGCTAGAAGCAGGTGAATGCATTTTCTTAATCCATTATTATACTGAGGATTTGCCCTTGAAGGGTGGTCATCCTCATCCATGGATCTCAGTCAGATCCCCTGCCACACGTAAAGCCACAGTCTCCCATGTCCTGGGCCAGCGTTAACTTAAACCTCACAGTCTTAGAGCCAGACTTCCCCCAAGGAAAGTCATAGCTGCAGCTAAAACAAAAGCCGCTTTGGCTTTAGTTCCAGGTTGATTTTCATCCCTAGAGATTTTTTGCTTCTCTTAAGAATTTAGCTATAGCCGGGCACGGTGGCTCACGCCTGTAATCCTAGCTACTCAGGAGGCTGAGATCTGAGGATCGCGGTTCAAAGCCAGCCCGGGCAGGAGAGACCGTGAGACTCCTATCTCCAATAAACCACCAGAAAACCAGAAGTGGCGCCATAGCTCAAGTGGTAGAGCGCTCGCCTTGAGCTGAAGAGCTGAGGGACAGCGCCCAGGCCCAGAGTTCAAGCCCTACGACCGACAAAAAAAAAAAAAAAAAAAGAATTTAGCTATATATTTGGCTATAATTAAAAGCAACATTTGAAGCCAGGTGCTGGTGGCTCATGCCTATAATCCTAGCTACTCAGGAGGCTAAGATCTGAGGATTGTGGTTCAAAACCAGCCCAGGCAGGTAGAAGTAGAGCTATGGTAAAAGTGGTAGAGCACTAGCCATGAGCAACAAAGCTCAGGGACAGCGTCCAGGCTCTTGAGTTCAAGCCCCAGCCCCAGCACCAAAAAAACCAAAAACCAAAAAACAAAACCATTCTTAGATGTTTGGATTTTCTAAATGGTGTTTCCCTGTTCTGGATGCACTAAGTTAAAGTTGTAAAGAAGAATAATTAGAATGTCCTAAGGAAGAAAAAGAAGATTTGAAGATAGGAGAAGTTTATGCTGAAGGCCATTCACTTGATTTGGAAACTGATTCGTCATTATTTGTATTCTAGAAGTCTTGTTTGTGTAAGTTTTATTGACTCATATGGTTTCCCCCCCAGGAAATTCCACTCTTCCGTGGAGAGTGAACCTAACAGAGCCTCCCCGGACTCCCGGCTCACACACATCATGGATCAGCACCAGCAGGCCCTGGTGCAGCTGGCCGAGGTGCAGCCCCGCAAGGGATCCCTACCCAGCCTCCTCACCTTCCCTCCCATCCTACCCAGGGTGGAGAGTGAATCCCAGCTCAGCTCAAAACAAAGCCACAGGCACCAGATGATGAAACTCAACCGTAGCAATTCAGAAGGCTATCTGTCTCAGCTGGAGAGGGCGGGGAAGCCCAGGAAAAGGAACAGCATTAAGGTAATACACACGTCATGTTCTGTCAGCTCACATTCTTGCTTTGGCAAGACAGACGGACCTGCATCCCCCACCCCTTGTGAGTCAGAGCCCAGGGATAGGAGCAGTGGTTACCAAGCCCTTGTGATTCAGCTGCCACCGCTGCGTGCCCTGGGAGCCCAGGAATGCCCACTGCTACATCTTTCTAGCTGTAGTTGCTGCCATTTGCTTTCCAAGTCATCTGGGGAAGGGAGTGCCAGTGTGGAGAGTAGATGATAATTCTCCTCCGTCCCCAGCTTCCTGGGAGAAGCTTGCCCACACAGTCCCCTCCTCCCCCACGTTAAGCTGGGCCTCCACACCCATTGTCCTGTCCAGAGAGAAGAGCATAGGGTTGAGTCGCTCAAAGCCCTGTTGCCGCTCGTCCTCACACCCACCAGCGGCTCCTCACAACTGAAACGGCCCCTTGGTGCTCACCTCACCTCAGCTCCTGTAGCCAAATACCCAGGCTGGCCAGCAGCTGAACTTTCCCCTGCAATTGTCACCAGTCTATACTGAGCTCCTTATCTGTAGTAAGATTTGCCCTCACTGGACCTTTGTGCACCACCTTCTATGTCCTGTGTGTTTCTCCACTGTTAAAAAGCAAATAAAAAAAAAAAAAAAACTCCTTAGGAGGGCTGGGAAGATAGCTTAGTGGTAGCGAGCTTGTCTTGCATGCATGAGGTCCTGGGTTCAATTCCTCAGTACCACATAAGCAGGAAGTGGCGCTGTGTAGCTCAAGTGGTAGAGCACTAGCCTTGAGCTGAAGAGCTGAGGGACAGCACCCAGGCCCAGAGTTCAGGCCCCACGACTGACCAAAAAAAAAAAAACTCTTTAGGAAAGATCTCTTGCTTCTAGTGCCAAACGTTTTTTTTATTAGTGTAATGAAATACTCGTAGCAGACAACTTTACAAAGAAGAAAAGAGGTTTTTTTAATTTTTTAACTTACTTAGTTAATATGCATCATTGCTTTTTGTTTGTTTTTTGAGATGTTTTTGCCTTTTCTTTTCTGGCACTGGGGATTGAATCCAGGATGTTGCGCTTGCTAGGCAAGTGCTTTGCCACTGAGTGACATCCTAGTCCATATACATTCATTGTACAAAGGTGTTTCCTTATGGTTTCTCCATAAACATATATAATATACTTTGGTCAAATTCCTCCCTCTGTTAGTCCTTCTTGTCCTCCTTCCCCTTTGAGATCAATGTGGCGCAAAATTCTGAACATTCAAGAGCATGTGGGCGTCGGTGGCTCACACCTATAATCCTGCTACTCAGGAGGCTAAGATCTGAGGATCCTGGTTCAAAGCCAGCCCAAACAGAGAGCCCATAAGTCTCTTCTCTCCAATGAACCACCAGAAAACTGGAGGTAGAGCTGTGGCTCACAGTGGTAGAGGGCTAGACTTACGTGAAGGGTTGAGGGACAGTGCCCCACGGCAGGCCAAAACAAACTAACCAAAAGAATCATCAAATGGTCTTTACTCCTCTGGCCTTCAAAATTAAGTCTTGCTTCTCTGAATGAAAAACAAGATTCTCTAAGATTGTCCCACCTTCCTCTCTACCACATGTCTCCACACCCTGTGCCTCCCTGGTCTAGTCCTGGCACTGTGAGGAGCTGTTTCGTTGCTAGCATGTGCTGTAGCTGTCCCCCTGAGGCTCAGCTCCATCGGTGCCCACCCACAGTGCTCCTGCAGCCCATCAGACCGCCACTGTCCTGGGCACACACACTCAGAAGAGAGCTTTGCTGCATGGTTCTGACCAACTCTGGACCTCTGTTAAACATTCGGACTTTCTGGGCTGGGAAGGTGGCTCAGTGGTAGAGTGCTTGCCTCCCATGCATGAAGCCCTGGGTTTGATTTCTCAGTACCACATACACAGAAAAAGCCCAAAGTGGCACTGTGTGGCTCAAGTGGTAGAGTGCTAACCTTGAGCAAAAGAAGCTCAGGGACAGGGCCCAGGCCTGAGTTCAAGCCCCAGGACTGGAAAAACAAAACAAAAAACCAACCAAACAAAAGCAACATTCAGACTTTAAGCTCAGCGGTCAGTCTGCAGGGCTCAGTCACTCATTCCTGCGCGCTGACCTCAGCCAGTGCCTGCCGTCTCTGTGACTTGGGCGAGTATGGATGAACCATCAGAATTACTCTCTTTGGAGACTCAATATGATAGTAAATGAAATAATGAATTAAAACTTTAGCTTATTCCCTATAAATTGTTATATTCCTTTTCCTTCTTCCTTCTCTTACTAATTTCAATTCCTGTCTTACTGAGGAAAGTGCATTACCAGGACCCAAAGTGCATGGGAAAGTGAGGAAGAGGAGGGAGAGCTTCAGGCCCTGCTTCCCAACTGGGAAAATCCCTCCCCTGCTGCCTTCCTGTTAGGACCGTTACAATCCAGTCCACATCCCACAAACACTCAGAGGTGCTCTGTCCAGAAGCTAAAGTGACTGATAGCTGCGCTGTTTGCAGAGCACCATGAGTTCAAATCCTGCAGTCTCCTGAACCATATTTTTAAAAGAAAAAAATTGAGCCAGGCATCAGTGGCTCACGCCTGTAACAATAGTTACTCAGGACACTGAGATGTGAGGATCGATGTTCAAAGCCAGCCCAGGCAGGAAAGTCCGTGAGACTCTTTTTTTTTTTTTTTTTTGGTTCCGGTTGTGGAGCCTGAACTCTGGGCCTGGGCGCTGTCCCTCAGCTCTTCAGCTCAAGGCTAGCGCTCTACCACTTGAGCCACAGCCCCACTTCTGGCTTTTTTCTTTTTGCTTATGTGGTGCTGAGGAATCGAACCCAGGGCCTCAGGCATGCAAGGCAAGCGCTCTACCACTGAGCCACCTTCCCAGCCCTGTCCATGAGACTCTTATCTCCAATTAATCACAGAAAGAGTTGGAAATGGTGCTGTGGCTCAAGTGGTAGAGTGCTTAGACTTGAGCTAAAGAAGCTTAGGGACAGTGCCTAGGCCCATAGTTAAAGCTCCATGACTGAGCTCCAGGACTGGCAAAAAGAAAAAAAGAGGAAGAAAGAGAGAAAGAAAAGGAAGGAAGGAAGCAAGCAAGCAAGCAAGGAAAGGCAGGCAGACAGGAAGGAAGGAAGGAAGGAAGGAAGGAAGGAAGGAAGGAAGGAAGGAAGGAAGGAAGGAAGGAAGGAAGGAAGGAAAAAAAAATGAGGATTTGTGAAAGAGAATAGTCCTCGGCCCTTTCCTCATCTGACCAGTTTAGGAATATTGGGCATTGTCCAGCCATTAAATCAGACAGGGGCGTGGAGCAGTGGAAAGCCCACACACTTGTGATGGCCGCTCCCCACACACGACCAGAGCGCAGTCATTAAGTGGTGTGTTTGCGGTCGTAGCCCGGCATGGCTAGCGGGAGGCAGGTTTGGGTTCCGTTCAGCCACCGCCGGGCAGATTTCCTTCACTCACTGTTCTGCAGCGTGTGAAGGGCTGCTTCCTGTTCTTCAGTAACTTTCTCACACTTACTGCATCTGAGGACTGTTCTGGAACAGCTCTGAGCACTCCCCACATCCCAGTTCAGCCCTGCCCTGCACTTGAGATGAGTGCTTTGCAGAGCAGTCAGTGTCCTCTCAGTCCAGGCACGCTGTGTTCCAAGTTGACAGCACAAATGGGCTGTGTGGCTTGAGAAGGATCGTGCTTAATTACTGGTGGAAACCTGCTGTCCGCAGTCCTGTGCCATGGCCTGCTGAGCCAGCGGAGGAAACGGCGGCTCAGAGGGGCCTGGCAGCACCGGGCTGGGTAGATGGCAGTGGACGCTTGGCTAACGTAAGACCAGCAGAGATGCAGGGCCCCCCCCCCCCCCGGAATGCGGACAGGGAGGCGGGCCGGGAGGCGGGGCTTGGGCAAGGGCATGCTTGTATTTTCTAATTCATTTTCCTTGAGCTCAGAGGCATAATAGGAAGATTACTGTTGGTTTATGATTGTTGTTATTACTATTTTATTTTTTACATTGTGGTACTACAACCTTTTAGTCTGGTAATAAGAACCAAAGGAAGGTACACCAAAGTCGATTGTGGGGATTACTCTACTAGAAAGGACTTTGGAAGAGTGAGAAAGTAGATTAGCGGTTGCCTGGAGCTGGGAGCTGGGGGAGGTTGGAGCTTCTATTTACAGGGTGATAAATCGGATCGTGGTAATGTTTACACACTCTGAATATCCAAAAGGACCAAAAGACATTAAATGATACAACCTCAAGTAGGTGAGTTTGACATATGTGAATTATAAATAACTTGGTAATGCAGTAATAATGCTGTCTTTAAAAAGACTCCAGATGGAGAGACCTCCGACAGAATGGGAGGGCTGAGAAGCAGCGCACAATGACGTGAGCCAAACTTGAGCCGGTTCAGATTTTCATCTCCAGTCACCCAGAACAAACTCTGTTAGGAGCTAGGGCTATTCCTGGAGAAATGTGGCTTTGCCGGAAGCAGCTTCTCCCGAGAAGAGCCTTCCGGAGCTGGCCTTCGGGCCGCAAGCTGTCCCTTCACTCTGAGATGCTAGGCCCTTCACTCTGGTTTTTTTCTGTGCTGACCAAGGTGTTTATTTGAGGCAATTGTGAGAACTGTGGCCAGAGACCAATGAGCAATTATTCATGTCTTTTGTGAGTCAGTGGGATGATGAGAAGTTAAGCTGCTTCAGGCTAAGGATGAGATTTCTGGGCGCTGATCATTTCTTTCTCATCATCTTTGGCAAATTGGATTTATGACTTAGATATGAGTAAGGCTTGATTTTTTTTTATCCCCTCCTTTTCATTATTGATTTATGCTGGCAAACAGACTATAATTTGGTGATTGTGAGACAAAAACAAATTTGTTTTTGCAAGTTGTCTGAGTTCACTCATCTATTCAAAATGATTGCAAGTTTTTAAATGTGATGAGAGCCAGTGTGCCCCATCGCCAGGAGAAAGGCTGGCTGAGGACCTTACCTGTCACTTTGTTCTCAGTAGTTGGCACATGAAGAAATCAGCGGAGCAGCTCCCAAATAATGCTTATCCCAGAACATCTTGAGCATTCCACATTTAGAGAAATAGCTAGAAATTGAACTATAACTAGATAATACAACACCGGGCTCTAAGAAAGTCACAATTCTAATATTTGTATTGAAATGAACCCCAAGAATGGACCCAAGAGTTCTCTCTTTTGTAGCTGTTGTTGGTTCTGTTTCCTTTTCTCTCTGCGGGGTTCACTCCTGCGTCTGTCTTTGGGAGGGAGGAGCAGGGCACAGAACTCGAGAAGAAAAGGGTGAAAAGTGAAGCGGTGGCGTTCACCAGACACTGATGAACGTGAACTTCACAACTCACCGGACACTGATGAACGTGAACTTCACAACTCACCAGACACTGATGAACGTGAACTTCACAACTCACCAGACACTGATGAACGTGAACTTCACAACTCACTAGACACTTATGAACGTGAACTTCACAACTCACCGGACACTGCTGAACGTGAACTTCACAACTCACCAGACACTGATGAACGTGAACTTCACAACTCACCAGACACTGATGAACGTGAACTTCACAACTCACCGGACACTGATGAACGTGAACTTCACAACTCACCGGACACTGATGAACGTGAACTTCACAACTCACCGGACACTGATGAACGTGAACTTCACAACTCACCGGACACTGATGAACGTGAACTTCACAACTCACCGGACACTGATGAACGTGAACTTCACAACTCACCGGACACTGATGAACGTGAACTTCACAACTCACCGGACACTGATGAACGTGAACTTCACAACTCACCGGACACTGCTGAACGTGAACTTCACAACTCACCGGACACTGCTGAACGTGAACTTCACAACTCACCGGACACTTATGAACGTGAACTTCACAACTCACCGGACACTGATGAACGTGAACTTCACAACTCACCGGACACTGCTGAACGTGAACTTCACAACTCACCGGACACTGATGAACGTGAACTTCACAACTCACCGGACACTGATGAACGTGAACTTCACAACTCACCGGACACTGATGAACGTGAACTTCACAACTCACCGGACACTGCTGAACGTGAACTTCACAACTCACCGGACACTGCTGAACGTGAACTTCACAACTCACCGGACACTGCTGAACGTGAACTTCACAACTCACCGGACACTTATGAACGTGAACTTCACAACTCACCGGACACTGATGAACGTGAACTTCACAACTCACCGGACACTGCTGAACGTGAACTTCACAACTCACCGGACACTGCTGAACGTGAACTTCACAACTCACCGGACACTGATGAACGTGAACTTCACAACTCACCGGACACTGATGAACGTGAACTTCACAACTCGTGAGTGGAGACGGGAGGGCGGACTGAGCGGGTGAGGGAGGATCACCTGACTCACATGGCTGTAACCCCGCTGTACATCACCTTCATAATAATAAAATAATTGTTTTTCAATCACATTTAAAAAAACATTTAGTTACAAGAGAAGAGGATGTAATGCTAAAATGTTTATTGAAAAAATAAAATAACTTGGATGGATAATTTTTACAAAAGTATGATCAGCCTGACAGAAGAGACCAGAAGCCGCTGCTCTGGTGGCTTTGCTTGGTGGTGACTTCTGGGTTTTTCTTTTAAAAGAGACGTATGGTTTTGAAATGCCCTTCATGGGCACTGTTTTGTCTACCTTAGGGTTATTATTTGTGATTTTAGTCTAAAGGTTGCCTTTAGACCAGATGCCCTGAAGAGTTTTGTTTGTTTGTTTGTTTTTGTTTTTTGGGGGGGGTCTGGTCGTGGGGCCTGAACTCTGGGCCTGGGCGCTGTCCCTCAGCTCTTCAGCTCAAGGCTAGCGCTCTACCACTTGAGCCACAGCACCACTTCCGGCTTTTTTCTTTTTGCTTATGTGGTGCTGAGGAATCGAACCCAGGGCCTCAGGCATGCAAGGCAAGCGCTCTACCACTGAGCCACCTTCCCAGCCCCACCCTGGAGAGTTTTGACCCTAGGTGTTCAGCTTTGTAATGGAGCCAGTTCCATGGACAGAATGGTTCATCCTCATGGTGTGTTATGCCACACCTGTGGCAGCCTCAGCGTGGCCCTTTTGAATGAGGACACTGAGACAGAGGTGTTAGAAGCATTGCCTTCCACAGCAAGAAGCACAGACCAGCAGCGTCAGACATCGGATGGAGCCGCACAGGCGCACGGGTGGCGCTTGGCCAGGCCGGGCCTCCCGCAGCTCCGTGCATCCGTGACCTTCCTTCTCACTCCGCCAGCTGCACCTTGGCTGCTCCTGCTGTATGAGTCCATCTACTTTCCAGACAAGGAAAAAGGGAAAGGGAGAACCCATGCTGGTTGAATGAAGACACACCCTCTGCTCAGCAAACCTTCAGTTACCCCAACCGGGCTGGAGCTCCCGGCCACAAGTCTGGAAGTCCTCCCTCAACAACCCCAGCTTCGGCACCCACAGATTTAACCAACGTGGGTCCAACAATATTCTAAAGATACTACTTCTAAGTCAGGCAGCAGTGGCTCACGCCTGTAACCCTAGCCACTGAGGAGGCTTGAGATCCTGAGGATCATGATTCAAAGCCTCTTATTACCAAAAGAACCAGCAAAAAGCATGGCTCCTGTGGTAGAGCACCAGTCAAGCAAGCAGAAGACTCTGAGTTCTAATCTCAGTACTGCCACAAAAAAATCATTTACTACATCTGTACTGAACATGCACAGACTTTTATTTTTGTTCTTGTCATCATTCCCTGAAGAATCTCAAAAACTATTTCCATAGCATTCCTGTTGGATTAGGTATTCTAAACAACAGGGCGATTTAAGGCATAAAAAGTGATGTGTAATCTATCGCAAATGCAGCTGCAGATTTTATCTTCAGGGTGTCCTGGAACCCTGATGTTCATGGACAACAGGGACACATGATTTTGACTTCTGAGCCTCTACCATGGCAGCCAACCGGAATGACCACTGGGGAATCATCCATGTCCTGTGAGAGGACACACGTGGTCGTGGATGGTACAGTAGGCAGATGTAAGTGCATTCTTAAGCTTGTAAGAGCTTTATTCAAGAGTTACGGTTAATATGCCAAGAATCCCTCTTTCATCTGGACCCCCTTTGCCAACTTCGATGTTAGAAGAGGGCTACGTAGATGGACAGAAGCTCTCAAAATGGGTGAAAACATGGTGGCTTGAGTAGGCTTGGTAGTGCCCACCTGCAGTCACATCTACCGCTAGGCAGAAGCAGGAGCACTGGAAATTCAAGAGTAGCCTGGGCAAAGTTAGGAAAATCCCAGCTCAGAAACGAAATATAACCAACAGGGATGGAGTCATCGCTTATTAGCAAGCTAGAAGACCTGGGTTTATTCCCCAGTACTGAAAACAACAACAACCAATACTGTCTTGACACTAACAGCACTTGACACAAACGGAACACCATACTGGTGTTACTATACTGGGGCTCTTTCTCCACTCCAAGCATGAACTTAGATGCGTGCTAACACGATTACTCTCCTCCTAGCTATTTCCTTGGTATTTGTCTTTTCTCCTTCTCTCGGTAAAGGGGACCACATTAATTAAGACATCGAAAGGTAAAAGGATTTGGTGTCTTCACAATGGGAAATAGTGTGTCTGAACTTAAGTTTTAATGCTGAAAGCTGCCATTTGGAGAGTGTCTTAATCTGGCCTGTGATCAGCAGAGGATTAGGGTTTCTTCCTGTGGACTATTTTGGCTCAAGTGTCATAATCTAATAAACTTCCTCACTATTGCTTGGTAATACCCATACTAATAAATCACACTGACTGAACAAAACCAATTTCTCAGTGGATTTTGTCAAGACTCTTCAATGCTTACTTTCTTTTGAGTATTATGAATGGATTACAGTTGAATTGTTATTTATTTTGCTTTACTTTGCTTGAAGTTACCTTTTTTTTCCCCTCCCCAACAATCAAGAGCAAAATTTTTTGTGCCTGTACTGGAAATGGAACTAGAACTTAAGACCTTTATTGTTGCTCATCTGGTGCTCTACTTCTGGCTTTTTATTGGTTAATTAGAGATAAGAGTCTCACAGACTTTTCTACCTGGGCTAGCTTCAAACCATGATCCTCAAATCACAGCCTCTCGAGTAGCAAGGATTACAGGCATGAGCTACTAGCACCCCGCCAAGAGCAAAATTTTAAAGTTACTATCTTCTGATTCTTTTCTGTTTTGTGATGTCTCTAAAAGGCACCATTATACCTCGCTGGACCTTTTGGAACACTGTGCTCAGATTGCCTCTTTAAAAGAAGTCATTTCATTTAGCAAACTTCACAAAGTTGACCCTCATAGCCCACAGCATGGACAATGTGGCAAGGTATATGTTATCGTGGAAGTGTGCATAGCAACACAGCACATTGTTAGCTTGAAAGTTTTAATTTGCAACTTTCAGAATTTCCATTTCTCTTATTACGGAAGTGGAGAAGTCAGAACGTGTTAGCTAACTACTCACACACACACACACACACACACACACAAACAGATCGACCACTATCAATATTACCACTGAACTGGAAGAATGGCCAGTCAGGAAATGCAGCCCCCAGGCTTCCCTTCCTCTTTCTCTGCCTGTGCTGGCCGCGTGTGACTACCTGTGGGCTCACAGGGCCCTGAGCGACGACGTTTCTCTGCTTGTTCCTTCAGAGTTCTAAGCTGAAAGGCTATCAGAAAAGGGACGTGACACTGGGAGGCCTGGGACCCGACCTGGAGTCCGTCAGAGACAAAGTGAGTGAAATGCACATGGTGTTTTCATGCCTGACTCGGCCCATCTGTCCTGTAGCGACACTGAACCAAGATGGTCCTCAGCGTCAAGCTCCCTGTCACTGTCTTCCCTGAACAGACCCTAAGTGATTCCTCCTGCAAAGGAATCATGCCTAGCCAGTATTCTTTCATGCACGCACCTTTCCGTTACACGTGAGGGCCTGCAGTGGACAGTCGGCACACGCAGGTGGCCTCGGATGCGTGGGTTCGTGTGGTCTGGGTCTCTCCTGATAGTGTTCTTAGTGGGTCCGAAGTAGCCACAGAACGGACCTTTCCAGAGCAAGTTCCCCAGCCCCTGAGCGGGGCAGCCTCTTCCTCGCTCTGCTCGAGCGGAAGGAGACCCCCCTTTAATGTGCTCTCACTGCAGCTGCCTCAGGCATACAGACTGTGCAAGCAAACGTGGAAATAAATTGAGTAAAAGGGAGGTGAATGGGATTTAGTTTCGGTTCAGGGGACACGGCGCACACCCCGGGGTGCAGCCCTCAGCGCAGGGGACGGCGGCCAGGCCGCCGCTGTCACCTCACTCCTGGCCAGGCCACTATCCTGAGCCGCTGAAGTAGCGTGCAGAGAGAGCCGAGCAGGACCCGTGACTCCTCATAGCTGTGTTTCCCTGAACAGATGCAGAAGTTGGTGCAGCAGAAGGAGTATGCGAGGCAAGTGAAGGAGTACAACATGAAGACATTCCCTGCTCCGTCCAAACCGCAGACCGCGAAGACGGAAAACAAGCCCACTCCCCCCCGGCACAAGGTCAGAAGGTCTCATCAGTCAGTGCGAGCCGGAGGTGGCCGTCACCTCTTACCCCACGTATTTGGAAGGCAGGAGATATTTCAGTAACTGCCACGTCTGTGCTCACTATCACCAGATGGTGAGGGAATTGCCCCCCCACACACACACACTGTTCTGCAAAGTTAATTTGCTTGTTTTCCCCAAGTTCATTATCACATCTTTTCTTCCAAGTACAGAATTGTAGGAAATCACAGATAAAAGCAACAGCGTGATTTCTTAGAAGAAACTAGCGATCCTGATTGACTACCCATTCCATTCCCTGTCATTCACTAAGTCTCAAGGAAATTAATGTCTCCTTGCTGTTCCGCTCACGTTCATCCCCCTCCCCCGCAGAGCTCGCGGCATAAAGGTTTCTCTAGTGAAGCTAAGATTTCAAGAAATACAGAATGTTCTTCCTCTCAGATGTCATCTACCCTACCCGGGGAGGTGAAGGAAACATGTCCTGTGGAGACAGGGCTCTGCCACAGTCTGACCAAACCACGGTGGGCACGGGAGTCTCTCCGTCAGGATGAGCGGCGCTGGGGTCCGCATCCCCCCTCGCAGCCACGCACATCTTCTTCCTCAGACCTGAAGACCTCAGTCCTCCCCCTGAGTTTCCATCCGTCACTTTTCCTTTTTCCCTCTATTCCATTATATTTTCGGAAGAACATCAAGGCAACAAGTACACCATTAGAAATTACTATACAGGGCTGGGAAGGTGGCTCAGTGGCAGAGCGTTTGCCTTGAATGCATGAGGCCCTGGGTTCGATTCCTCAGCACCATGTAAACAGAAAAGGCCAGAAGTGGCGCTGTGGATCAAGTGGTAGAGTGCTAGCCTTGAGCTGAAGAGCTGAGGGACAGCGCCCAGGCCCAGAGTTCAGGCCCCATGACTGACCAAAAAAAAAAAAAAAAAATTACTATACATTTCATCTATGCACTAAAAAGTTTGGACTCTTTCCCTATGTTTTAGACTTTTTTTTCTATCTATTTATTCTATTTACTCTCTATTTACTATCTAGTCCTTCTTCAGCTATAGACAAATGCTTATTAAAATATAAAACTCAGCTGGGCATCGGTAGCTCACACCTGTGATCCTAGCTACTCAGGAGGCTGAGATCTGAGGATCGCAGTTCAAAGCCAGGCCAACAGAAAAGTCCCCATGAGACTTATCTCCAGTTAACCACTCAAAAAACCAGGAGTGGCACTGTGGCTCAAGTGGTAGAGTGCTAGCCTTGAGCACAGAGAGGCTCAGGGACAGTGCCCAGGCCCCCCGAGTTCAACTGCCAAAATATTATATATATGTATATAATAAATATATGTATCTATAAATCTCACATAAAGGCAGATTAGACATCATATGTAGTGGTCCCGTTTGCATGCATACACATTGTTGAGAGCCAGAGTCTCAGGAACAGGAGGTGAGCGCTGTCCAGCCCGGCTGGTCTTGTTCTGTCATGAATGAGACATCCCTCAAAAACAGACTGAATTTTTTTCAGCATTTAGGTTTCTTCTTTTTTTGTTCTACTCTTCTTTTTTAAAAAAATAAGTTTTCTATTGTGAAAATACTGTATAGAAGGGTTACAGTTACATGATAAAGCTAATGAGTACATTTCTTTTTTTGGGGGGGGTCCAGTTGTGGGGCCTGAACTCTGGGCCTGGGCACTGTCCCTCAGCTGTTCAGCTCAAGGCTAGCGCTCTACCACTTGAGCCACAGTGCCACTTCCGGCTTTTTTCTTTTTTTTTTGCTTATCTGGTGCTGAGGAATCGAACCCAGGGCCTCATGCATGCAAGGCAAGCGCTCTACCACTGAGCCACCTTCCCAGCCCCCATGAGTACATTTCTTATCCAGCATTGTTGCCTCCTGCTTTGTTTTTCCCCTACCATCCCATCCCTCCCACCTCCTCAACTACACCCCCCACCCCCACCCCCAGCATTTAGGTTTCTATAGATAGACTAAAGAAGAAAAAACAAATCAACTTCTTTTTCTGGAGTTCTAAGAGCTTGGGAACAATAAAACACAAGGTTCACCCATTGCAGTGATGTCTTCCATCTCCAGCTATCCCAAGTCCTCTTTGGGTAAAAAAGTCTGTTGATAGCTCATCAGAACAAGTGTGGCTTTAATAAGACTGTCAAAAACTAAGTAAATACGTAAGAAATCTACTTCCTAACAATGAAGGAAATTCAGTCTTAAGAAGAAGATATCCAAAGGGTCTATCTATCATTCTGACTCCTTTTTCTCCACAATGTATTGTCTAGTGGCTAATCAATTCTGTTCAAACTGTGCACTGTATCTCACTATTTGCATTTTCCATTTGACTTGTTTCCACCCTCATCCCAGCACCATCTCCATTTATATTCTAAACATTTCCTAAGACCAGCTTTAGCTTGAGGAATCCAAGACTTGGTTGCCATTTTCAATGAAAGTTTCTCTGTATGCTTCTAGGCTCTGGAATATGCAAAGACCATCCCCAAACCCAAACCTCCAAATCTGACAGACCAGGGAAGCAAGAAAAAGACAAAAGCAACCCATGGCGAGAAAGAAGAAGGTCTCCCTGAAATCTCACTGCTGGAGATCCTGCAGAGCAGGCATGAGAGAGAAAAGCAGGCCGTGGCTGCCTTCAAAGTCCTCCACATTGTCTAGACACCATTTGGTGGGAACCAAAGGCGCTCTGAGCCCCGACATGGAGAGAAGTGCCAGCCACGCCCCCTGCGGTGAGAGTGGCCATCCGGTCCTGTCCTGTCCTCCACCCAGCCGCAGCCCTGCGTGCTTTGTGTAGGATTTCATACTGGGGTCTGGTCAGAGAATGGTACCATGCTTTATTTCCTGGGGAAAGAGCGTTTTTATTTATTTTTCAGGCCAGTTAAAATTTGGGCTGATAACCAGAAAATAAAGCCATTGATTTTATACTGGATCTGTCAATGTCTTAAATTATCTCCACCCTTTCTTAGTCCCTGAAAAATAAATTTACCTACTTGTGTCCCTTTCCTACATCCCTGCTAAACACTTCTATTTCCCTTAAGATGATCTCATCTGGGACCAACCACCAGTGAATTCTGAGATAACATTTCAAAATTATTACTTGAATCTCCAAGTTCAGCAAGAAACATATATGTACAATTGAAAGAAATGAAAATGCATCTAGATGTCCCTTCTGAAATGGAACACATCAAATGTTGCTCTATTAGAGCATCAAGACATTTGTTACGCATCCTCCAACACACCAAGAAACTCTCACCACAGACAGCCGTGAGAGAGACACCTCTACAAAGCCTCACGCCAGTGTGTGCCGACTGGCGTCTCCCATCACCACCAACAGCCTAACACAAGCAAAACGTTACATAAGCTAAGTCTATATCATGGTGTATTACTACGTTTAAATATGAATCAAATTTTTTCTCATTACCTTTAGAAATATTATTACAACTCCCAGTCTTCATTACCAGAAGACTTCCTTCTATGGGCGTATCCAGAAATGGTTCATTTTAACAACCATTTGTGGCATACCTGCTTCTCTTTGTACATGAGGCAGGAGAACTTGCTTTGGAAACTCACTTCTGTGTTGTGTACCTTCATCGTGAGGTGATAGAAAGCTCCCTGCTCCTAACTTTGTCTGAAAATTAGAAGCCGTGAGAACTGGTGGTCCGGGAACTGTTTGGTCATTTGTCTGTGGAATGAGGATGTTCTTATTTCTCTGGGCTGGTAAGGAACATGGGAATTATTGTGGATTTCACCATGGGACCTACATTTCTACTGTTTAATTTTTGGAAGTATGTGTGGCCATGTGCCTGACACATGCCTGTACACACTGATAAAGTTGAACTTGACATAGGAAGAAGAATGTTCAGCAATAAAACATTTTTTTACAGGATATTTAGAAAAACTTGCCATCACAAGCCTTTTGGCAAGCCTGTACCAGGTTAATCTTCCCAGCTCTGTGACACGTAGTACCTTCAAAGCCCAGCACTCAGCTGAAGCAGTTGAAGTGAGCTGATGTCCCACAACTCTTCGCAGAACCCTTCCCCAAAGCCACACCCAGACATGAAATCCTAAGCATCCACATTCCTTATACAGTGCCAGGTAGTATCTAAAAGGACTTTAGCTAAAGAAAGACAAGACATTTACTAGTTGAGAAGCCTGTGGTTTATAGGCTGACACCTGGATACGTACAGTTGGTAGCCAGCCCAGATAGAAAAGTCCAAGAGACTCCATTTCCAATTAACCAGCAAAATGCTAGACTAGAGGCATGGCCCAAGTGGTAGAGCACCATCTATGAGCAAGAAAATTGAGCAAGCACAAGTGCCATAAGTTGAAGCCTACATATTGGCATATGCTTGCATGTGTGCATGCATCTGCACACATACACACACACACACACACACAAATTGCTCTAACTTAGGGATTGAAATTGAAGAATGAATCAAAATGGCCCTTTGTGAGGCACCAAGACATTTTACAATAGAATGATCTTTTTCTTTTTTCTTTCTTTTTTCTTTTTTTTTTTTTTGCCAGTCCTGGGGCTTTGAACTCAGGGCCTGGGCGCTGTCCCTGAGCTGCTTTTGCTCAAGGTTAGCACTCTACCACTTGAGCCACACAGTGCCACTTCTGGCTTTTTCTGTTTATGTGGTACTGAGGAATTGAACCCAGGGCCTCATGCATGCTAGGCAAGCACTCTACCACTAAGCCACCTTTCCAGCCCCAATACAATGATCTTGAATAATGTCACAAGCTACCATATATATCCTCAAGATCAGGATATTCTGCATAGCAAATGGAAAATACTTTTTTGCTTCTTTAAATTGTACTTAATGACAACAACATGGATCTGTTACAAACCCAGCTTTATGACATTTCTGTTTGAGATACTCAGCAAAGTATGATGAGGAAAGGCTTGCCTCTGGCCCAATGTTATCTAAGCCATTGAAAGCCATAGGATAAAGTCCACCTAATCTCTATGAGTTGGTACAAATAAAGGTCCTTTAAGCCATGTATGCTCTCTTATTACCGTCTCCTTTTACAGTGATGTTTCTATCTTGAGTTTTCAACAAGAGCATCCTCTTAAAAGGAGCTTTTATTTCCCTTTTTTACAAGTAGCTGAATTTAATGACAGCTGTCTTCTTGATTTTGTTTTCTATAGTAAGGAGTCTCTTGGGAGTTATCCAGAAACCAAGTCAAGCAAAGACAATATTGAGGAACAAAATAAAAGGTAAGCCTAGCAAAGGCAGAGATGCCTAATGGTTCCAATTGGGGCCTTATTATTGGTTAATGAATCATTGTCAAAACATCACGGCAAGCACGAGCGTGCCCAGTCCAGTCTATAGTGAGAAAATGACTCTTCATCCCAACAGTTATTAACTGGGAGTTGTTTGAAAACACGTCCAGTAATTATAACAACACTGTAGCTAATTGAGAACTTGGAGTTGATAGCAAATGGCTTACAATAGCAGACTACATCAACTCAGGAGGGGATTCTTTTCTAATTACTTATTGAAAAATAGCAGAAAAATGAAATTGAATTTGAGTGATAGTCTTCAGGTATCAAGACAAGTATAGCTAGTATAAAATATCTTGGAGAGATTTAGCATATATTTTTTTACCTTATTAGAAGTGACATTTGACAATAAAAAGGTTTTAAGGAAACACCAAGGTTACTCTCCAAAGTACCTTTTTTTTTTTTTTAATACTGGTCCTGGAGCTTGAACTCAGGTCCTGGGCACTGTCCTTGAGCCTCTCTGTGCTCAAGGCTAGCGCTTATCCTGGAGCCACAGCACCACTTCCAGCTTTTTCTGTGTATGCAGTACTGAGGAATTGAACCCAGGGCTTCATGCATGCTAGGAAAGCACTCTACCCCGAAGCCACATTCCCAGCCCCAAATGTCTCAATTTCTTAAGCGAATAGCTGGCCAATGGGAAACCAAAGGCTTTTGATGCCAAACTTTCCTTCTTTCCCTCACTTACTCACTCCCCGGTTTGAAAGGATCCCATTGTTCATGTTCAGTTATGTAATGTTGGCTCAGTAATATAAGTAGAGAGTTGGTAGGCCTTCCTAAAATGTTATAAAGGCAATACAGTGCAAAATGCAATACGAAGCGAAATGAGTAGTGTTTTCCCCAGACCTCTTTCTTTGGCCATACGGAGGCTCTATGGAGAGCGTGGAAGGGTGAGAGAAGTTGGTGGACAGGTTCATCTCCCCTGCCGCCTCTCCGTAGCTGCTTCATCTCCCCCTGGCAAACCTGAGCAATAGAAGCAATTAATTTTCAATAAGCTTGAATAAATGGTCCTCTGCTATTAAATAACGGGTTGTGAGGATCAGAGCCATGTGTGGGAGTCTCAAAGACCTGGAAATTTCTGATAAGATTTCATCATGCCTTCTATTAAAGTGGCGAATCACAGAGCAGCCTGATCCTCAGGCACCCTTGGTCACCCGGCTCCAGACTTCCACAACAGGTGTTTCAAGAACTCGCTGTACCTAGGGTACAGACGGGATAGTCAGGAAAACCACTGCCAGAAAATTAAAGTGCAGAATATAATTATTAGTCCTTCGGAAAGCTGTCCACACAGAAAACCACCGTGGAAAAAACCAGTAGAGGTCTCTAGATAGTACATAATAATAAATCTTTGGGACCTTAAATGTACTTTCTCTCTTGACGGTCAGCTCACCTCCCAGCTGAATCTTACACCATATTTTCCAGCAACCATACATTTATCAAAACTAATATCAGGAAGCCCGTCCATTCCTCCTCCTACCCCACCACGCCGGGGCCCCGGCAGCGAGGCCTGCCCCATCTCCCCTGAATCCACACAATAGTGACACTTTGAAGTCGGACAGATGAGGTCCCTAAATTTGTTGCCTCTGCTTAAAATTGATCATCCTTGTGTTACAAACCTCGAGCACCTATTTTGAATAAAAGCTTTAGATGAATATCAAAGAATTATTTAGCCACATCTAATATTTTAATTAGATTATAGTCTCAATTTAACCCATTAAGTCTCCTTTGATGATCCTGTACTTAGTGGTTAGCCTCAGATGCACGAGGTAATGAATACGGGACCTTTTGATTTAATGAGAATTTCGGCTCTTCCAGCCTGCACCTCTTTGTGTACCTTTTATTTTGCTGGCATAGAATCCTGTTAATTGAAGGGGTCTCTCACCGTCACGCATTAAGGAGTATAAATTAGCATCCCTATTCTAATTGGAAAATGCAAGCAGACGGTTCTGCTTTGATGTGAGGATTGAGCTGAGGAAGGCAGCAGCCCCCTGAAAATGAGCTGATGGCCTTGTTATGGGGCAAAATACAACTGTGTCCATGTGTCACAAAACACTTAATGTCTTAATTGGTCACCTTCCAGTTCTGCCCTTCCTGCTTGCGTCCTGTCTCTGCCAGCCGGTCCATAATGTGCGTATGTAAATGTCGGGGGGGCACAGTGCAGGGGCGTTGGCTGCTTGTCTGTTTTTCCTTTCTCTGTTTCTCCCCTCGCCTCCATCAGGTGCCCAGGTTTTAAATTCATCTGAGTCCAAGGAAAATGAAATGTAGCTACCCCTCAGAATCAAAGAGGGGGGTGGGTTCCAGACCACCCACATATGTGCACCCCGATCCATAGCTACGCAAGTCCTTCCCGCGCATGGCCAAGTACTCGTGTACAGCCACTGTGCCGCCTCTAGATCACTATAATACCAACCGAAAGGTGAATGCTCTGGGAATAGTTGCTACATTGTGTTGTTTAGAGAACAATGGCAAGAAAATAAGGCATGCGTAGTACAGAAGCACTGCGTGTGTTCGTTTGCTTCCCATTATTTTCAGTAGGCAGTTAGTTGAATTCGTAGATACAAAACACTTGCCTGCTCTGGCCAATAGAGAGCCAGTGATAACCTCGGTTCCCTCACCTGGAAATTCTTGTTGAGGGCCCCGTGCAG